CTCGACATTCTCTTCTATCGAGCAATTCATGCACATGCAATCTTCAACTTGACATGAACTTCCCGATTGACCGACTTTAGAAAACAGAGAATGGCAAATTTACTTCAGGCAAAATTTCAATTAAAGGCTGATTTCCACTGTTGCGTTTTTCGTACGTAAAACTTTGAATCCTTCAATTATTTCAATATTTTACAAATAAGATAACAAATGCATACTAAAACTTGCGGAACACTAAATTCTGTTGCTTTATTTATTCGGTTATTTCATAAGTAACATTCAAACGGATTTAAAATTTTACGTGCGTATACGTACGTATGAAAAACGCAACAGTGGAAATCAGCCTTATTAAAGAATAAAGGTTTATTCATGCGTACGAAAATTTAAATGAATCTAAATTTTATATACGTATACCTCTCAAAATACTGTACTGAAAATAGATGCGCATTAAATCATGTACCAAGCAAATAACCTAATTCCGATGGATTTCGCGAGCAAACTTTATTAAATGGATTTGAACTTTTCCGTGCGCAAGCATACAGTATGGAAAACATTCGTGGAATGTAGTCCTTTTGAAACACTGGATAAAGAAGTGTGATTTCTAAATTGCTAGGAAACCTAATCTTGTTATTTTAACGTATATTAACTAATCGGTACACTGTAAATTAAAAAGGGCCAAATCGACCCCAAATTCCGTTTCAGCCCTTTTGGGGCCAAAGCTGTTTTGGCCCTATGTGAAAGCTATTTTGGCATTGGAGAGCTGGATCTGCACCGACGGAGCCATTTTAGGTATGGAGGAAAGCCAAATTGGCCCTACCCTTTGCCGTAACGGACCCATCATTTTCCAATTTAGCCCCATCAATTGCCAATATGGCCCCACAGACCAAAACGACTCTCACGTCCGGGTTTTGTTTTGGCCCCACATAAAGGGGCCGCTTTTGATCAACACATTGGCCCCTATGAGCTTCGTTTCGGCTCTCCATCGCGGAACGACTCTCGCATAGGTCAAATCGACCCTGGAATGAAATCGACCCTTTTGTCGAAACGACCCTTTTGTCAAATCGACTCTTAATTGTGTCAAATCGACCCTTCTGTCAAATCGACTCTTAAATGTGTCAAATCGACCCTTGTGTCAAATCGACCCTTGTGTCAAATCGACTCTTAATTGTGTCAAATTGACCCTTTTGTCAAATCGACTCTTAAATGTGTCAAATCAACCCTTCTGTCAAATCGACTCGTAAATGTGTCAATTCGACTCTTCTGTCAAATCGACTCTTAATTGTGTCAAATCGACTATTAATATTGTGTCAAATCGACCCTTCCGTCAAATCGACAGTCTTAATTCTGTCAAATCGACCCTTCTGTCAAATCGACTCTTAATTGTGTCGATCGTCCGTCGTATGATCGTATCAAATTAACTTCCGCATAAAAAAACTTAAAGAATGCACATGCTCGCAAAGAAAAAGAAGAGGACGTTTTTTGGATTAATTTATACAAGGTGAGATTTGATGTTTCATTTTGTAGGGTACTGAAATTTGTTTTCCAGATTTTTAGTAATATTATCGTAAATATAAATACGGTATTTGTAAAAATTAATCACGAGAATTGAACGTGTAATCATAGAATAAGGCCTAGGTGTAATATTAATATTAATGATCGCGGGAACTGGGAACGAGAATGCACGCGCCCGTAAGCAATCGGGTTTGCGATCATTCTCGAGCATGCGTACTAACTTTTGGCGCCATTCAGTGTGACCAGACGTGGTAATTTCATTACTACCGTGGTAATTTTTCGTCATTTTTGGGCAATTGCATGTGGTAATTGGAAATTTGTGGTAATTACTACGGTAATTTCAGAACAACCGTGGTAATTTTTCGTCAAATTTCGGCCGATTGTGGTAATTTGAAATTTCCTGACCTTAAATGTACAGATTTTGGTGAAAAACCCCTAAATGTTACAAATTTTGTGAAAAAAAACTGGTTTTGGCCTTGTTTTAGGCGAAATAAACCGGTTTTGGCCTTGTTTTAATTATAATTTTTCCGGAAAAATTTTTTTCACCCTAATTTACGAGGAACTTGTCCGGAAAAATTTTTGTCCGGAAAATTTTTTTTCGACCTTCCCCCCCCCCCGCTCGCCAACATTTTTGGAGAATTTTTCGAAAAAATATGGTAAAATTGGGAAAATATAGCACCGTGGTAATTTCAGACCGAAAATAGTAATTTTTGAAACCGGATGTGGTAATTTGGCCTGAAAAAACCTGGTCACACTGGCGCCATTATCGAACGCTGGCCGTTGGGATTTGCTTCGACGAGGGATACGGATAAAATACAAGCGTAAAACCTCGTTCGTTGCAGTATATTTTGAACAAATAAACAATTTATTAGGAAAATACGTTCAAGAAACGTCTCGTGCTGTACTAGCCTAATTCTGGCAAATGTTATTTACTTTCTTCACCTTCGTGTCGACGACTGTTGTTTGCTGATGGCCAAATCACGACAGCGGACATGAATTATTCAAAATATGTTCTTATAGCTTCACGTTTACGATACGAATGTAAGATTATTTATTTTTTGTATATGTAGGTTCTAGTTGAAAGTAACAGCGACGATGAAAAAAGTGCACACAACACTGAAATATCCAGTTCACTACTAGCTCAAATCCTGCGACATATCACTTGCTAGTAGCCCAGTCTAGTTTAACTTTGCCCAATCAAGAATCATCTCCTGAATCAGGCATACTGGCAACACTGGTTCATTTGATAATGTAAGTTTTTAAACTGGTATTTTAGATTTATATAGCCTCTGTCAAATCAGGATGAAAATCATGCATGAATTGCTTATCAATACACAAAGGACATTTCAAGTTCCAGATGAACAAAATATTATTAAAGCTTTGATGAGTGTTCTGCAACTATGTTTCAACTTTAAAATACTCTCATCCTCGTTTGACCCATAATTATTTGTTGATTTTACTCGATACTAAATAGTGAAACATCGAATCCAGAGAAAATCTTTATATATGCAGAACCCACTGTAATTCCGAGCTGTAATCACATAATTATATAAAAGTCGTTTCAGTAGCAGCAAAAGCCAAACTAAACACCAATCTAGGATTAATAGGTTTAGCTTTTAGGCCGAGAATAATACACGATTGACAATTTTGTGGCTGATTGATTAATTAATAGTATACTGTATATTGATGTTGTTGTATACAGGACATCTGACTTACATGTCAAATTAATAGTCGAATTTATGATTATATTGAGCATGGCAGATTTGACATTTGAAACATTGTTGATGTTAATAACCCATTGAGTCGCATTGCGCCCTGATGCACACTAAGTATTTATTATTTTACTCTGGCTATCTAACGCTAGCAATTTTACTCATCAAGGGGAGAGCACTGGCGGTTAATGTGTTAACTAGCCTATCTGCCCATGTGTACATAGTTAACCCATTGAGTCGCATTGTGCCCTAATGCGGCCTAATTTATTATTTTACTCTGCCTATCGCAGGACAATATTAAGGGCAGAGCGCTGGCACTTAATGTGTTAACTAGCCTATCTGCCCATGTGTGTTGTTAACACATTGAGTTGCATTGTGCTCTAATTTATTATTTTACTCTGTCTAATGCCAGATGATTTCACTCATTAAGGGGAGAGCACTGGTGCTTAATGGGGTTAACTGGCCTATCTGCCCATGTGTGTTGTTAACACATTGAGTCGCATTCTGCCCTAATTTATTATTTTACTCTGTCTAACACCAGATGATTTTACTCGTCAAGGTAAGGGCGCTGGTGCTTAATGGGTTAACTGGCCTATTTGCCTGTGTTTATAGTTAACCCATTGAGTCGCATTGCGACCTATTTTATTTTTTTTACTCTGTCTTGAGAGGAGAACGCTGGTGCTTAATGGGGTTAATATTGAAAATATAGATCAACATTTGTCAAAACGCATGACTTGTGCCAGGCCTTAAAATATCTTTTCCAGGACCGTCTGACAAAAGGTCCGGTGATGTTGAGTTTGGGTCGGACATATGTCCGATGACCTTCAGTTCAGTTTTGACTCGGAAATAAGTCTGAATGACACAAATGAATAAACGGTAAATGTTGTACTTATTTCCAAGCCAAAATTAACTTGCTTGCCAGAACATGCAGCAGTATTAATTTAAAAAAGAATTCGACAACTTAAGCCCGTTTTCCACTTCACCATTTCGCTCGCCGCCCCACGCTCGACTACGTAGTAAAACAACATTTCCAGTTCACCTTTTATACAATAGTACTCTGATTTTCCATTTAACATACAAGCCTCTAGTCCTGGGCTAGGGTACATTTTGATTTACGTCGGACACCAATACACTCGGGTCGGACAAACAATAAACCTCAGTTTCACTTTGGTCGGACAGAATGTCCGGTGGTTTCCTTTCTTCGTCGGACAATTTCACGAATGGGTCGGACAATGTCCGTGACCGACCGATATTTTAAGGCCTGTTGTGCAATCATTTCTGTAATAATTAAGATATTAATTAAAATATCAAATATAATGCCTTATGGCTTATTTCAAGTAGGGAGATGCTATGTATGTCCATTGAAACTTAGTGGATTTGTTGTAGTACATCAAATAAATGCTAGCCATAAACATATTCAAGTCAATGGAAGAGAATGTAGAATTGCACTTTACATAAAATTCCCTAGTTATTGTACATTAATGAAAAAAAAAGCATTTGAAATGAAATATATATTGTTTTAATTTTATTTCTATGGTTTGTACTATGATATACATGGGCTACACACTCTTTGGGAACCCGCAGGGCTGTTGGCAGAGCATTTCCATGATCTGGAACTTCAGTCCTAAACACGATGTGTGGGTGCGAAGATGTTGTGTAGGAACAGAACTGTACAGATTAGAAATATGATTACTGATATTTTCCAAAGAAAAACTATTAATATATAGAAGAGGAAAGAAAGAGGCAATTTGACATTTAAAAATGGTAGGCTTATTAAGGATGAGATACAGAGAAAAACAGTAATGCAGAACTACATTCTCTTAAATTGTCAAAATTAAACGCTACCAATCTTGGTCTCGTTTCAAACTTGAATAACAAAAAGTCTAAAAATATAAAAACTATAAGAACAGATCAGCTAAGTCCAGTTATAAAATTAAATGATACAGGAAAGCTATCATTTTAGGAAAGTGTTGTTTTGGGGTGTGTAAACTCATGAGGTTACATGTTTCTGGTGAATCTGTGCTTGCTGGAGCAAAAAATTATTAATCGTTTGTGATATAATTCACAAGATGTCTATTTTAACCTGTGGGTTGTGGAATTTGTTTTGTCTGACCAAGATATAATGAATACCACTAGTGACATGAGCATGTCCAATTAATACTTAACTAGAAATAAATGCATGCAGCAACCCCTTGCCTATATTTTCCAAACATTGATTTAACATGAACTATTAGCAATTGGCCAGCACTGAACGCAGGCTCACGTTGTGTCAAGTGTTGTCAAGGCAACATAATGTCACATATTTTAAATTTTTTTGAGTAATTTTGCAAGTGTTCATACCACAGAATCTACCATACATAATTTTAAACAAATAGATAGGTGAAGTAATTCAAACAAAATGATTTTGAACTTTATTACTCTACTCTGTCCTGGTGCTTAATGGGTTAAATAAGATCGTATAGTTATATGTATATGATGTATTATGTTTTTATGTAGTCTGCCTGAATCACTTGTACCAGGCTATGGAAATTCTTGTTTCCAATTTTGTATTTATTTTTCTTATGATACAGTACACTATAAATTTGAATAATATTTGTGTGCTTTTAGTGAGCTTATTTTTAGGAGAGTTTGTTGCGAGGCAGCATATATTTTGATTTTTCAAAATATTACTGTATATTGGTATGTTATACTTAATATTAGAATGTTAGGGTTTGGAATCCAAGTGAGAATATATACATTTTAAGACCTAACCAGGAACGACTGCGAAAAATGCAGCACAGGGTCCTCTGGTAGGAATCAAACCTACGGCCCTGTGATTCCGGTGCAGCGCTCTAACCAACTGAGCTACAGAGGCCAGCCATTAAGCTGTAACCGTAAGTTCATGTATATATAGGTAATCAGGTTTGCGGGTTGTAATAAGGTGGACTTCATGACTTAGATTCTGCACTTCACTTGGTGGAATTAATATTAGAATGAATCCAAGTGAGAATATATACATTTTAAGACCTAACCAGGAACAACTGCAAAAAATGCAGCACAAGGTCCTCTGGTATGAATCAAACCTACGGCCCTGCGATTCCGGTTCGGCGCTCTGAGCTACAGAGGCCAGCTGTTAAGCTGTAACCGTAAGTTCATGTATATATAGGTAATCGGGTGTGCGGGTTGTGATAAGGTGGACTTCATCATGATTCTAATATTAATTCCACCAAGTGAAGTGCAGAATCTAAGTCATGTTATACTTAATGCTTTTGGAAGAGTTATAGGGGTCCGGTGTGGTATACTTTTTCAGGTATTTTGTGTCTGATGTATGTAAGAGCTTTATTATTGGGTTTCTTGGTGAGACCTTATATCTTATGTGTCCTATAACCCCCTGTAATTGCGGATTATTGCATACATTCTAATTGTGTTTTTTTTTGTATGAGTCTGAAGATGCAAATGATACAATTTCAAACTTATCAAAACCCATATTGTGGTCGTTGGCATCGAACTTACTAGAATACGACTAGAAACTGTCAATCATACGTTATCGAGGGAAAGGATGAAAGTTCCATAACAAGCAACAGTTGTTTTGATGCAATTATCGCCTCATTGGCAAGTTTTTACATCTTCAATATTGAGTACTGCCACACGAAGAGCATCTTGTCTGCCTTGCAGACTATAGTAGTGCGTGGGCAAGACAGAAAATGGCATATACAACTGCCAGTGAGGGTCACAGCCCTCTTCAATGACTTGTCATGACTCTTGAGTATTAGTACTACAGTAATTTTACACTTTTTGAGAGTTATGTTGACATATGCTAACCCAAGTTAATGTTATTGATGGAATGTGTGTATTGTCTCACATCTCACCGAACTGTGGTAATGTATTAGAAATTATTCGTATTGCGTTCACGTTAACAACCGCGCCTGCTATTGCTATCACAAGTTGATTGCTCTTTAAAATTAGAATTGTAAACTTTCAGAGCCATATGGCATATATGTACGAATCTTTTGATGGTTCCCACATTTCGGTGAGATACATAATACTGACTACTGTGCATGTATATTGTAATTTTAGTTATAGTATTGTGTTTATAATACAGAAATTGGAACATTTATCTCAACTTATATTGCAATAATTCATTCCAATCTTGGTCTGTTGGAGAAATTGTAATAATTTAATCAAGACCAAATAAACCCCAATATTTTGCCTGATTCATTATATACATGTAGAATACGTCTACATGCAAGAGTGCAACCAAATCCACATGACTTTAAATGCTATATAAAACGGCACCACCAAAAAGCTATATCAGCTCGATCGGTTCTAAAGCACCTCTTCATTGGGGCTGAGACTGCTCTCCTCTGAAAGTGCCAGAACAGCTCCGGTTAACAAAGTAGGGGTTAAATTGGCTTTTCTTTTGGATCTATAATGGCTCTGAAATTGGACCAAATTGACCCTTTGGGTGCTACAAACTACACCATGAAAAAAGCTATATTAGCTCCTTCGGCTCTAAAGCAGCTCTTCTTTGGGGCTGAAACTGTGCTCTTCTGAGAGGGCCAAAATAGCTCTGGTTAAAAAAGTAGGGGTTAAATTGGCCTTTCTTGTGGTCTATAATGGCTCAGAAATAGAACCATATTGGCCCTTTGGGTGCTAAAAAAACTACACCATTAGAAAAGCTGTATCGGCTCCGTCGGTTCTAAAGCAGCTCTTCATTGGGGCTGAAACTACTCTGTAACTCAGTAGCCAAAACAGCTCCGGTTAGCGAGCCAAATCAACGCTTTTTGGGGTTCATTATGACCACAAATGGGAGCCAAATTAACTCCTCGAAATGCCAAAATAGCCCCCTAATTCTCTGAATTGGCCCCTATTGAAAGTTGAAATAGCCCCTGCTTTTGCCCAAACAGCTCCTACTAAAAGGTGAAACAGCCCTTACACTGGAAGGGCCAAATCACCCCTAGGGGCCGCATTGTTATAGGTGCCATTTTGACCCCAAAAAAAATCTATTTTGCGGTCACCGTTTTGGCACCATTTTTGGGGTCGTTTCAGCCCTTTTTAACTTACAGTGTATAGCTTGCATACAGCGCAAGGGAAAATATAGCCTTTGGAATAATTAATTCCTAATTTTAGTGGAATCTATTGTTGCAGAAAAAGGTCTTATCTTTGCTTGGCAGGCTATACATATGAGTCATCTTTTCCTACTCACTAGTGATAGTTAGACAAAAGTAATATATAATTTCTTTCGCAAGAGCCCAATTGCATGATACAGGTCTTTGAAATAATTAAGAATATATATTTAGTTGAAACTTTAGATCTTATACCAAAAAAAATTATATATATTTGGCTGGCAGGTCATGAATTTATCCCATTATTTCTTAACCAGCATAATTGGATAACAGACAAAGTGGATAAAACAGTTATATTATACTTATAACATTTTTTTTTTTGTGGAAACACCTCGATCCGTAAGACCGGACCTTCGTCAGTGCTAATAATTATAAACCTACAAAGAACTTATATTATTATATTACACCTTTAGTGTGATATTTAACAAATATAAAACATTTTCCGTGTTGATATACAGCTATATTAACACGAGTGGAATTGGAAAAACGAGAAATTGTATGGAAACACGACGCCCGAAGGGCGGAGTGTTTTCATACAATTTCGAGTTTTCCCAACTTCCACGAGTGTTGATATAACTATATATCAATACGGAAAAAAGTTTTATATTTTTTTTAAATATAGCAATGTGAAAAGCCCGAAGAATAAAAAAAATTTCCGTGTTTACAACCGGCGGAAAATTTCTCGTGTTGACATTGAGTTATATCAACATGGCTCTTAGTCAATCAGCGTTCAGAATTTACAAATGCTATATTATAAATATCGCTTGGCACAGAAAGATGCACAATCTAATTGGCTGACTGGTTATCAAGCTATTGAATTTCCATATATGAAAAACACTTTATATAATTATTCATTTCATATATGAAAAAGTAATTTCATATATGAAATTAGAATTTCACATTTGAAAAGTTACATATGAAATTTCTATGACATTTTATTTTTCACATAATAAATTTCCATACATGAAAAACACGTTATGCATTAAATTTTGATTTCACATATGAAATTATTTATTTCATTTATGTGAAATTATTTATATCGAGGTGGAGACTGACAATCTTTTCCATATTCATTATGCATCTTCCATTTAAAGGACCTCTGTGTCTCCCAATTAACACGAAAGTTGTCCATTTTAATTTGTTTTTAAACTTTTAAAAAGTACAAACATAGTATCCATGGCATTGAAACCGTACATCAGAAAACCATCAGTTATTTGTTTGAATAACTAAACAGACGTCTGCGGAGGAGGCTAGATACGTACAACACATGAGAAAAAGTTCCAGTATTAAGATTACATCATATGATAGATTCCTGTTTCAGGCTATATATATATATATTGATAATTGATAAATTGCGTGCTGTCTTAGGAACAAAGCAACATAATATATTGATATATTGCGTCGTTCCTTAAGAACGAAGCAACAACATATTGTGTTGATATATTGCGTGCTTTCTTAGGAACAAAGCAACATAATATATTGATATATTGCGTCGTTCCTTAAGAACGAAGCAACAACATATTATATTGATATATTGCGTGCTTTCGAAGCAACATAATATATTGATATGTTGCGTCGTTCCTTAAGCACGAAGTAACAACATATTAGGCTATATTGATATATTGCGTGCTTTCTTAGGAACAAAGCAACATAATATAACAGTCAGTTTTAATATAATATAATATACAAGGAAGCATTGAGAAGTAGTTATATATATTCAATTGATGGACATTCCTTGGTCGTCAAATGTCCAATGGACATTTCATATGTCCATTGGACATTTCAAATGTCCATTGGATCCAATGGACCATTGGACATTATACTCATTCATTTTATCCAGGATGCCGGGCTTTCCCGGTGGTTACAAAGTCCGGTTTAGTCCATAATTGGATCCAATTGACACTCGAATACCCAATGGTCCCAATGGCCATTCGATATGTCCATTGGACATCCACATGTCCAATGGACATTTGAGTTGTCCATTGGATCCAATGGACAGTCATATGTCCAATGGACATTTCATATGTCCATTGGACATTTGCGTTAGTATTGGACATGTATGGATATTTCCTTGTGGTTTATTAATTTTGGAAGGAAGCATTTTATTAACAAGATGAATTACGCAGTTGTATACTGGATAGCAACAAACGAAACGAGTTGTTTTGGAAGACAGTTGTGTTCGAGATGCCAAATGCTTACAAATGCAAATCCGATTATAAGAAGGGGATGATATATCACAGACTGCCAGGGGAAAAGAAGGCCCAAAAGGCGATTGGAAAGTCTATACAGCTCGTGTTTGTATCTGTTCATGGTAAGTTGTTGT